GAATCATTACGCGCTTAGCAGTTTTATTTTTGCATTTCTCATGCTTCTCAGGTCACAGTTTTGAATGAAAACATCAGCACTTCGTTGAATTCAATCGGACAGGGAATGAGGGTGACAATACCAAAGATTGTCGCGCAAGGACATCTGGGTGCGGAGACCCATGTGCCACAGTTTGAGTTCAAACGAATACGAATATCGTATGAGTCATACGATATCGTACAGAATAGATCGTACATCAGAGTTATTTCATTATTATTTTGTGTGCAAAATCAATGCCCAAACCAAAATATTGCCAACATCCGACGAGGCATGCAACGTCTAAATTAATAGCAAAAGGTGGAAAAGCAGTGTCATTTAAATTATCCACGTTTTTATTGAGTCAATATGATATTCTGAACACTCGTGTTCGTTGGCTCTGTCCAAGATGTCATATGTTGGAATCAAATGAAATGAAAATTCGTCAACCAATGCAAATCAACAACAATCGAAGCTCTACTGATGATGAATCTACGGCAGAAGATATTCCTTCTGATGAAAACGATGATGAAGACGGTACCGAAGAAGTTTCGTACGACAATGAAGAAGACGAGGACAACAGTTACTCGAATGTCGATATGGAAACTGAGACGAACGACAACAATGAAGAAACTGATGATGAATCAATGGAGGAAGGCTCAAGTGATGTTTTTAATGATCTCATCATCAAAATGAGGCAATAGACAAATTATCCGCTATCTTCCGATTACTGAATATAAATTCAATTCACGACAAGTAAGTCGTTGACTTCGTTCTCGATATTTTGTAAATTTTTTGTATTCCAAGAGCGGACGTAAGTCCTATTCGTGCGAAAGTCGACGAAGTGTACAGGTATCTTCATGGACTATGTGATGTGTTAGAGGGAAAGGTTCAAGATCGACACAATGCAAATCCACATCATCTGTTGATCAGTGAATCAAATGAGCTTTTGGATGGTCTGAAAAATTTATTCAATGAAAGTGATGACACCGAACAGGTTCGTTTGATGACAATTGCACCTAAACAATGGGATCGAAAAAAAGTTGAAAAATGGTAAGTTATTTACTCTAGGTATTCCGTATCAGTAATCATCGTTTATCTCATCATTTTTTGCCTGGTATTTTTCTATTGTTAGGTTTAATTCAAAACAAAACCAAGCTCGTCGATCAGTCATTCTAAGAAAAAGTGAGGGGGTTCTAGCTTATCCACAATGTCTACGAGGAAATTTATCTTTATCCGATGAAACATTTGACGTTGTGGTTCAATTCTACTGCGAAGATGGCATAAGTCGAGTGTCATCTAATGCCAAAGATACGATCCTTATCAATAAACAACCAGTACCAGTTCGATTCATGGAAATGACGGTTTTGGATGCTTACCGAATATTCAATGAGCGATATCCCGGCGATATTGCACAATCGACTTTCTACTCACTTCGACCTCGAGAAGTCAAAATATCCTCACCGCATGAAGCATGTATGTGCACCATCCATGAGAACATGGATCTTTTAATAAAGGTTTGTGCCGATTGTGATGGATATTGATTCACTTTTATTATTCGATTCACCATAGGCATGGAATAGCTATTGTCAAAAGCGTAGTAGAAAAACTTCTACGGAAACCGTTGGCAAGTTCAATCTGAAGGATCTTATCTCTCGAACGGTTTGCACCGATGAAAAAGAAGATTGCTTTGACGGAACATGTGAGAAATGTCCAGAAGAAACACTTATCGACATTATCCTTGGTGACAGCATCGTCGATATCGATGATGAATGTTCGTGGACGATGTGGAAGAAGATGAATAACAAATTTGATCTCCAATACATCATCGGCTCAGTTGATTCCCTTTTAACTACGATCGAGGAAAATTGGTCGACTTTTCTTCTTCACACCTATCATAACAGACAGCAACGCGATTACATCAAGGAAGTGCGTAGCCAGTCAACGGACAAAACATTTATCGTCGCTCATATCGATTTTTCGATGAATTATACACTCATCCGTCAACGTGAGGTACAACAGGGTTTCTTTACCCAACAGCAAGTCACCGTGTTCACTATTCATCTAACTATTGGACAACAACATCGCAACTTAGCGATAATTAGTGATCACTCAGAACAGACAACAGCTTTTGTCTATTGTGCACAGAGAATTCTCGTCCAGTTCATCAAAAGAAACTATCCTTCAGTCAAGAAGATCAATTACGTGAGGTAAGTCTCACCTATATCATACAGAAATTTGTGATGAGTGTTTCAAACGTATGCTCCTTTTACGTATGTTCTTTTAGCGATGGCGCGAGTGCTCACTTTAAGAATAATGCAAGCATTCTAAATCTAGTTCATCACAAGAATGACTTTGGTTTGGAGGCATGTTGGACATTTACAGTGACTGGACACGGTAAAGGAGCAGGTGATGGCATCGGCGCTGCATTGAAGTCTACCGCAAGACGTGCGTCACTTTCCAAGAGTATTCTTTTGTCCACTGCGAAGGATTTCTATGAATTTTGTCGCAACCATCAACTGGAAACCGCCAATAGATCAAATAAACAAAATCCTGCTGTACACATCTTCTACTTAGATTCTGAAGAAGTCGAGCAAGTCAAAGAGGGTGTTATGAAGGCAAGGAGTAAACAACTTCACTCTTCAGGTAAACGAATCTATCTTTTATTAAATACTCACTCTCTCTATTTAGAGAAAATCAATGGAATTCGAAATATACGCGAATTCCAACCTCTGAATAATAACACACTTAAATGTCGACCGACTTCGCGATCAACACAGGTCACCACGTTTTCGTTCCAGTAGAGTTATTTCTGATGTATCTTGCTTTTCGAAGTTCTCTTTCTGAAAGAATACTCGCTGATAGTCTTCAGCTCAAAAGTCATAAGAAGATTTTATAATCAGGGTGAAAAATATATTTTGAGGTCAACACAATCGATAAATA